GCCGACTGCGATGCCGGCTAAATGTCTTATAATGTACCAGGTCAACAGTCTGACGCTGGGAATTATGATAGCTATTATGGCAGAGGACTTCGGACAAGGTGCTTCCAATTGAGTCATACTGACAAAACCAATTTGCGCAAAAAGAGTTCAACCCACTTTAATATTCAAGGGCTTTGTAAACCCCAAACATAATAGCTTTTTAATGATTATTTACTTTATTGTAACCCTCTATTTCTCTATTTAGAATTTTCGTCTTGTTTAGAAGCCCTTATATAATTCCCAGCAGTTTTTTCTATTTAATTCAGAACCACATAAGGTTCTTGGGCTTTCTCTACGCCTATTTTATACTACTTTCCGGCAAGGCAAATTTCTATTTAATATTATTAGATGCTATATTTTATATGTATATTTCCACTTTGTGTTTAAAAGTTTCTTTGATGTTTTCCTATTTTCTCTACAGAATGTAAGACCAGCTACGAATACATTTAACCATGCATTTTATTCTTTAATTCTTTTTTTAGTCTGGGCTGATTACTTGCTTAAACAGCCTTCTTAGTGACCCTCCTATTGTCGCCTTTCATCATATCTGGGCGCCCCCTTGTCCTAAGCGCTTCGCTTTCTCGTCTCGTGACAAATCCTCAACTTTTCCCCAGACTTCCACTGCTGGAGCTGAATCCAAACTTGACAATGGAAGCTTGAGAATGCCTGGAAGCCCCTTATCAGATGGCTATTTGGCTCGTCAGAAAAGACCCTGCTTTGCATTTCTTGCCTGTCATGTTGTCTCTCTTCTTTCGACTTCACCACTCATCACGGTGGATGTTCATCTTCACGCTGAACTCTTGCACCTTGCCTCAGGCTGTGCTATACGTGAGCTTGAAAATTTTAAAGTTTTAGGTTCATCTTGGGTGTCATTCGTTAGTTACCGGCTGCTCTACTATCTTAACATCATTGGGCTCATTACAAATACTGATGTCCAACTAAAATAAAAATACCAAGTTGGTAACAATTCAGTTAGCAAAAAGAGATCCAGCTTGTCATATGCTAAGAAAGGGGGCATATCTAATGGCTGAAAAGCGGTTATTCATAGCCGATGCCAGTCTATGGACTTATTTCAAAACCCACTAAAGCTTATAGCTGCCTGAAAACTTGTTTTAGCATCACTCAAGTTTATGAAATGACTTAGCTAAATCCGTTGGAACTTACTGGTGTTGGAAAACAACATCAAATGCCTCTTATGAACACCCAAGACTATGCATTCCAGTGAGATGATGATTTACTTGATCCTTAAATTATTCGTATTCTTTTATGAGCTAGCTAGCTAGTCCTGAGTATAGACTAAGAAACGCACTGCACAATCATTTCAAGCCTTGCGAGATTACTCCCAACCCAAGAGTGAATGGGTCGTTACTTTGATACTCTTGACTTTCGATCATTATTAGGCTAAAGTATTGTTTAATCTCCTTTATATGCACTTATCCTCTTTCCATTCTTCTTGGATAGATAATGTATCAGCTTTTAGTGATTTAAATTATTTACTATAAGTATGAGCTAAGGCTTCGCGCCGTACCCTGCCTTGCTTAGTAAAATAAGAAAACGAGTCATGGAGTACCACTTGCATAGAAGAATAAAAGTTGCAGGC